CCGGTTTCTGAGAGTGGCCGGCTGCCCTGGGCTGCAGGCCACCCCTGCCTCCGCGCCCGCCTCCTGGGCGTCTGGGGTCCGCCAGTGATCTCAGCCCCGCCCCAGGTCCAGGGGCCGCCTGCAAGCTGGTGAGCGCTGCGCAGCCCTTTCTTCGGGAGACACATTCTGGGGCGCTCCTGGAGCAGGCGCCCTGCTTCCCGTGGGGTCTCGGCCCAGCACGGCCTCCGTGAGGCGCTCGGTCCCTGCAATCTGAGGGGGTCGCACCCGGAAACAAGGTTGGCCCAGGGCCCGGCACCAGCTTTGTTCCCGGTCTTGGCTCCCGTGGCCCGTCGGGGGGCCCGGCACCCCCAACAAGCGCCTCCCTGCAAACCAACGTTGGGTTCCCTGTGCTATGCCTGCTGGGGAGCAGTGTTCGGAATCCCTGGGAAACGTGAAACCTCCGAGTGACACCAAGTGAGATGACGGCTCTTTGCGAAGTGGCCGCTTCCCTCTAAGACAAAGTCTGGAACATTCGAGTCTGAAGCTCGGTTACTACTTCTGGCTTCTTACCCCGGATTCTTGGGTGGCTCCATCCCGATTCGGATAAGCATGCAGACACGCAGTCAGGCTGGAGGGGGCCTCGCCGGGAAGCCGATACCGGCAGCGCAGCCTGGGGCTCTCCCACCCTGCAGCAGCCCGGCAGAAAACGGGCTCCAGTCCGGTCAGCTCCCACCTGGCCGCTCTGCCCCACGGGCCCGCGACACCCCCTCTTGGCTCCCTCAGTGCAACTTCTATGGCCCCACTGTCTCCGGGGGCGACCTCGCGGGCACAGACACGACGTGGCTTTCGCTTCTCCCTTGCTCTCTGGGGTCTCCCCACTGCGCCGAGCTTTCAGCAAGCTCGCTAGTGAATGTCTGTGCGTGTGTGACTGTCAGTCGCACTCGGAGGAAGCATGTGCCCAGGAACCATGAGGCGCTGTCTTCGAGAACGTGCCGGTTGGCGGGAGAAACGGCGGGCAGTGGCCGGGCCCCCCAC